TGAAGGGGAGTTTTCTGTCAATGTAGGTAATCCACCTCTCAGAGGCGGTAGCTAGGTCAACAGAAGAATTATTTCACTAACCCAGTTGCATCTATAGTGGGGGTTAAGTAAATTCAACTACATGGCAGAGGGTATAACATTTTTCACAGCCCTGAGTGATGTAGTGAAGTTAACTAAATAATAGATGGATACAGGTCTAAAGAGGAATGAAAGAGTTCAAATCTTCTATACATAAGGGCTACGTCTGCACTGGCCCCTTTTCCGGAAGGGGCATGTAAATTTCACGAGTCGTCGTAGGGAAATCCGCGGGGGATTTAAATATCCCCCGCGGCATTTAAATAAAAATGTCCGCCGCTTTTTTCCGGCTTTTAAAAAAGCCGGAAAAGAGCGTCTAGACTGGCCCCGATCCTCCGGAAAAAGTGCCCTTTTCCGGAGGCTCTTATTCTTACTTCAAAGAATTCCCCTGAGCTTGGTTTAAGTTAGGGTATGAGAAAGCTGCATACCAAATTTGGGGATCCTAGTTCTTAAAGTTTAGGAGGTGTTCTTGAGCAAATGGACTCTCAGATACACAGACAGATGGACATGCTCTAATATATATATTAATGTGAAGTGCTTTGCCACGGTGTATGGAATATGTAGAGGGTTTTTTATTTTAAATGTATAGAGTTCTGAAAGGCAACAGAAATAGAGTAAAGCAATTTGTGATAAACATTTTTCAGCAAATCATTCAAAAATTCAGGTCAAATTTGACAAATGGTTCCAGCCAAAAAAAAAAAAAAAAAGCACCTGAAAGTCAAAACGTTTCATTTCAACAACTGTTTCATTTTCACTTTTTCCCTTTCAAAATAGCATTTGAAATTCAAGTGTAGCCATGTAAAACACGAACACACACACACACACACACACACACACACGCCAGGTGAAAAACACCTGAAAACCAGTCAAAAATCACTTAAACATTTTATTCGACTCACAGTGAATCAAAAAACTAGGGGAGGGAGAAGATGTGTTTAAAAATCAATGCAAAACCTTTCAGTTGATCTGAAAGTATTTTTTTTGCAATTAAAATAGAAAGTTTTACTTGAATCAAACTAGATTTTTGGGGGTTGGTCCCAAAACTGAAAATACATTAGTCACTCAACTCTAGACAGAAGGAAAGCATAAATCAGGAAAATTAGACTTTCAGTTTGGAATGACCGAAGAGACTTGTCTTCTCCTAAGACCTGACCCAAAGTCCACTGTAGCAAATGGAAATCTTTTAATTGTCTCCATTGGTCTTATATCAGTCCCCTAGTGCTACATTTCCAATGCCTACTTCCTAAACAAATTAAAATTAAAATATTAATTGGAGAAAATGCCTAAAAAAATTAACAGTTTTTATATGTATGCTTGCAGATTAATCCCAAGGATGTGTAGTTAGGACATTTAGGCTATGCCCTCACTGCAGAAGTAACTCCTCTCAAGTTAACCTAGCTAAAAAGAGAATGGCCATACTGCAAAAAAGACATTTAAACAACACAGAGAATGCCTACTCTGCAATCACAGGATGTGTAATTGCACCTCAGCTAGCTCTAAAGTAGATAACCCTGGTATGATAGCACCGAAGTACATGCTGTTGAGGTTTCACTATGGGCTGTACCTTCCCACCCAGAATGCTTGTTATTACACGGAGTTATACAACACAAAGGAATTTTTGTTTGTTGCCAATATAACTACATCAAGACTGGGCTTTTGCCAGCACAGCAATGTCAGGTAATGGGAGGGAACTGCATCTCTGACTAGTCCTAAAATCATTATTTAAAACAATTTTAGTGAAACTCATAAAATCCCTTATGTGGCGCCCTTATTCCCAAGAATGGTTTCTTTTGATTTAACTTAAAGCAACTCTCTTAATCAGTTTATGATGAGCCAACGTTTAAATTGAAATAAGCATCTACACTGCTATAGCTGAATCTGTTTGGTTTTTTTAATCACCAGTTACATTAAATAAGTGCTTATCTTTCTTTCATCAGGCAGTATATCCTAGTGGATACAGCACTGGACTAGATGCAGGCAACCAGAATTCTGTTCATAGTTCTACCACTGAGCAACAGGGTACCACTGGGCAAATCATTTTAGGAGAGAGAGACAATGACACACCTTAGGACCCTGAGGCTATATCTACACTGCAGAGTTTTTGCACAAAAATGGCCATTTTTGTGCAAAAGCACACGGAGCTTCCACACCTCAAGTGAGTTTTTGTGCAAGAAACTTTACAGTGAATCAACAGAACAGAGGGGTTTTTGTGGTGTAGGTATTCCTCTTTCGATGAGGGATAACTCCTTTTTGCGCAAGAGCTCTTGAACAAAAAGGTGTGTGGGGACCGGAAACGGGTTTTTTGCACAAAAACAGCCTATCGAAAGAAGCACAGGTGCCCTGGTGGCCATTCTGTTAATGGCAACCAGCGCTTTTTTGCACGAGAGCATCCATGCAGTGTGGACACTCTCTTGCACAAAAGCACATCGCTTTTCCAATGGGCTTTTGCAGTGTGGATGCGCTCTTGCACAAGAAGTTTTTGCAGAAGATTTCTTCTGCAAAAAGATTCTTGTGCCAGAAGCCTGCAGTGTAGACATAGCCTGATGGAGAGATCCCAAATTTAAAAGCCACAAAACAAAGTCCCTGAATCTGATTAGGCAAATCTCCTGAAGGCTGAGAGAGAAATCACTACACACTGCACCTTACATGGCTTCTATTCCTCACTCACTTGCTTAGCTTCCTGTTTGGCCTTCTGGCAACACGGGGGGAGAATCAACAGCTCTAGGTTCTACAAACCTGGATTCTTTTCAGTGTTTTTCAAATGTGGCCACCACAGTCACTTGCAACCACCTGGGGCTTTTCTTGCAGCCACTGCCTCCTAGGTGGTGACTGAGTAAAGGACAAAGCAGTAGCCCTTCTCCTGGGGCAGCAGGGAAGGGTTGGGTTGGGTTGGGCCACCCCCTCACCCTGGGAGCCAAAAAACCTGAAGGAACAGATGGGCAGGGTGAGTTCCCCACCTTCTCAAAGACTGTGGGGCTCAGACTCTGGATTCAGTAGTAGTGGGCAGCAGGCTCTGGTTGCACAGCAGCAGATTCCAGCCACAAACTCTAACCATAGGGCTTTAGGTTTTACCTGTGCAGCAGCAGGCTCTATGCTCTGGCCTCTGGACTTCATACTCACTCCTTATTGTCTATGGACCCTACTGTCACCACTCACCCTGCACCTATCCACTTCTTTGTCCCTGGCTCTAGCTGCCTCCTATCCACCTCCCCGTCCTTAAATTGTCCCCTGACTTGCCAGAGCTGAGTAAGTCTGTTGTGAAAAATGATATTTGTATGTTTGTTAATATCACTTGTTTACTGCCTTCCAGCTAGCTAACACGTCCTAGGTCCTTACACATACCAAGCCCTGTTCCTGTTTAAATAGACTAGCTCTAGGGCAGGGCACAGCCTACCTGATTATATCACAAGCTGTTCAAGCCATGAAGCCAGCCTATTCCTTAAAAGCATCGTACATTCCTTCACAAAGTATTTCTTTTGTTTGTCTCTTTTTCCTTGCTCCAGGTAAGGTGTGAGGTAACTGTGGGTGTGAGAAGGCAGGAAGACAAGAGATGATATAAGAGGGCACCTCTACCAGGTGACTGGAGCTTACAGAGAGGGAAGCGAGTGCAGAGAAGTCCACGCAGAAGAATAGGGAGAGGGTATGAGAGGGCGCCCCACTTATCAATTAAAAGTTTGGCAGGGCTCAGGGGAGTGGTGCAACTCCTAAGCAGTGTTCCCTCTAAGCTGCGTGGAGGCTCAGAGCTCCATGCACAGAGCTAACTGACTGGGTGGGGATGATTAATCACCTGTGAAGCTGTGCTGCCCTGCAGTTTAAGGGGAACACTGCTCCCAAGTGCTACCACAAGTCACCTATATTACCAGTAAGGAATTGACAAGTCCTGGTTACCCTGGTAGCAAGGTCAACTAGGTATAGTTTATATTTTAAAAAAAATGAGCTAACAATAACCTAGTAGACTAGAAATGGTAACTTTGTAATAATACATTTTAAAAACGGAATTACCGAAACATCTGCCAGTGATTATCCCCATCATTTTGCTTATACAAGTTGAATCTCTCTAGTCCAGAACTCTCTGTTCCAGAAACATCTGTCACCCAGAATGATTTTATTTAGCCAGACGTTCATTTTCCTGGGTGTGGGCACGTTTCCCACAATCCTATAAAGTTTTATAGCCACCAGTCCTAGCACTCAGTGTTCTGTGCTGTAATTTAGCTCTAATTTACCCCTGATATCCTGTAAGAGCCCAGTAAGCAGTGGAAGTGTTGGTAAAGCTGCTAGACAATATTGACCTCCCGTGGTATGGAAAATTCTCTCATTCAGAAACAGTCAGGTCCCAAAGGTTCCAGACTAAAGAGGTTCAACCTGTACAAAGTATTCCTTTCCCTTATCCTTCTATTTCTTGTAAGACCTTCAAGTCAGTGACTATGTTTATTTGTTTGGTGAATCATCTAGGGCATGTCTACACTGGGGAGTTATTTCAAAATAACTCCTCTTATTTCAAAATAACAAGGCGAAAGTCCACACAGCAAGCCTGTTATTTAAGAATTATTTTTGAAATAACAGGCTTGTTATTTTGAAATAACCCCTGCTTTTGATGAGGAATTAACCATTTTGAAATAAATGTTTTGTGGGAGTTATTATTTCAAAATAGCTTTTTTCAAAATAATTTCCAAGTGTAGACATAGCACAAGTGTGCCTTCTGTGAGGTACAAACAATACAAACTCAGTAGTCTGGGTAGCCATCACTGATCTAGACACAGGTTGAATTTGTTTCCACTTAAAAGGGCCAGTCACCCTTTCACACAGTGTATAAGCAAACAAGAGGATGAGTTTGCTTCTTTCTGCAAAATACTCTATGATGCCCTCTGAATGCATCCATTGACTTAAATGGGAATTTTGCCTGGGTAATGAGCATTCTCTCAAACCTTTAGGATCAAATCCTCTTGCTGCTGCCCAGCCAGGGTAATCAGGTCACGCTGTGATTGGGTTCCTGGATACTCTGTTAGAGATGAACAGAATCCTCCTATCAAAGGCAAGAGAGTAATAGATCAGTTGCTCTCTGGCTAGTAGAAAGCAGCTCTCTGGCCTCAAAGCTGAAGAAACTAGAGTAGAAGCAGTTGAATCTGTAGAGTCATGGATGATCTAGACCTATTTGGCCCTGCCATAAGGGAAGGGGACTGGACTCTATGACCTCTCGAGGTCCCTTCTAGTCCTAGTGTTCTATGATTCTATGACCCCCTAGCCCTCCTATTGTCCAGCAGTTGGTGCTGTTCTCTGAAATGCCCTTGCACATGGTAGCATGGAGGAGCACAACTTGGCACTCTAGTCCTCTAAGTGGTGTTCCTTAACCTCATGCACAGACTGCGTTCAAGGCCTTTTCCTGGCCACATGGAAAGTGGAAGATTTATATCAATGGTATTTTACCACCGAAAGAGTGACAAAGGTGTGCAGAAGTGTTACTATATAGGGCTTACTATATATTTTAGAAATGTGTTCTGTCTTTTCATCCATCTGTGGGTCTCTTTGTTTAAGAACTCTTAAATGGTAAGAGTTAGGACCATCTGATTTGGTATGCAGGTTCCTCTTATAATAACTTGAGTCTGGGTAAGGGTTTGGTTGTGCCAGGACAATGGGATGTGCTTAGAATTCGATTGTCTCTCCTCCCAGCCCTGTCCTTTTCCATGTTATGAGAAACAGTCATACTGTAGAATTACCACAGGGGCCAGAGATGGGGACAGGGAAAGCTATAATCCCATTGGGCCAGCAGGGGGCAAAGGTGAAGAAATGGACAGTTTGAGTTTGTCTGTTTGTGTCTGTCTGACTGTCTCTCCCAGCTGGGGGACACGCAACGGGCATGGACATGCACTTCTTTCCTGGTCCCAAACTGCTGCAGTGAGAGAGAGGGCTGGATTGGCAGCCTGCATACAGAACCCCTCATCCTCAGCCCCACTGCAGAGCAATGATTTAAATGAAGAAAAACAAAACTTATTTGAGTTGAGACCCAAGAAATGCTGGGTAAACCTTCTAGTGCAAAAATAACGGGAAAATTCAACTCACCCGCTATTGACTGGATATGTTTCTCCTCACAGTGGGATGCAGAAATAACCAATCACTAAGTAAGCCAATATGTAAAAAAAACTGTAGTTCTAAGATTGGCGTTTTAGAATGTCATATTTTTAATGTAATAAATTCAGTCAATTTGATTGTATGTTACTTTTCTTTATGCACTTAAGGTTTTATTAAACCTTGTTGTATTCACTCCCTAAATATCATGATCAACAAACCTTTTTGTTTTAGAACACAGTTGTCAATCTAACTAACATTCAATATGAAAAACAGTTGCCATTCCTTACCTGAAAGCAATAGATATAAAACTTTACCTCAGTAAAATGACAAGCAGAAGTTGGTAGGATTTGGCCTTTAGCCCTGTGAAGGTGTGCAGTTTTTCAGCAAACTTGTGACATGTCACCATATTTCTAGAAGCCTTTTCTCCTTGATTTCTTAGATTTCATTATTGCCATTATCTTATTTTAAAAGGGCCTGATCCAAAACCCACTGAAATTAATAGCTGGCTTTCCAATATTTCTATGAGTACTGCCTCAGGCTTAAAATAAGTGGAGTTGGATCTTCAGCTCAATATATACTATCATACCTAAATCGACTTCAGGGGCTTTTAGGACAATTTACACTAACCAAAGATCTGGCTCTCTGAGCGATGTTGGTAAGCAACCCCTATGAGATAATGCAGCAGTTCAAGGAGCAACTACCTTGTTCTTTCATTTTCTATCTTTGGATATCACTGGGCTATAGTCTAACTTTCTAGGTTTTTACATTTTAATCACTTCAGTAAGTATAACCTCTGTGTTGGCTCAATTAATTTTCAAATTAAAATTCTCCTTTTAAAAGACATTTGTATTCACTTTTATAGTCACGCTTGTATTATAAATTACCATGAACCATTCACACTACTACAAGTGTTTGAATTTGATCATGGTTCTCGGCATATAAATTATATCCTTGAACAATACATAAAACCTTCTATTTGAATTAACGAGAGGATTTATCCAATGTAGCTTGGGTCCTTAGCTCAAATATGTTTTTCCTTTATATAAATAAGTGCTCTGGAGTGGGGCTAGGGATGAGGGATTCAGTACACTGGCTGATCTGGGAAGCGAGGGCAAAACCAGCCATCTCCTACCACAGCAGCTTGGCGCACAGGCAGGGGAGGTGTGCATGTTCGTTGGCTGGAGGACAGACAGACAGACATAAACAGACAGATGGACACAGAAACTCTCAAATATATAGTAGATCTCTGTCCCATGCTGGCTCAATGGGGTTATAGTCCCAGTCTCCATTTCTGGCCCCTTGCTGCTGCCCCTGTGGCCATTCTATAGTATAACTGTCCCTCCTAGCACACCGCTCCCTTTCCATTTTATGAGAAACAATCCAATTCCAGGCACATTCCATTGTCTTGGCACAACCAAACCATTACCTTGCTTCGAGTTATGATTTGAGGAAGCTTTGGTGGTCCTAGCTTTTACCGTTTAGGAGGAGTTCTTGAACAAATGGACTGACAGAGGTGGCAGACATTTCTAAAATACATAGTAAGATTAAGGTGTTGTGATAAACAACTGATATTTCCCATTATCTGAAAGTTTCTGATGTCCTAATTTTTAGATATTTTCTTTGAAAGTGACCGTTTTTATATTATTCCCTTTGAAAAACTGATATGCGATAGATATTTGACCTTAAGTTTTTTCATTATTTAATTATTTTTCCTTTACAGCTCTAAAATAAACATTTGTAGCAAATATCTAAAGTTAAATCACAAGTTCACTTTTGTTTTAGAGCCTTCCTGGCAGATGAAGGAAGGTGGTGGTGATAATAAATTAAAAGCGGAATTACTGTTCCTCTTTGCTAGTGAAATTTTCACTAAAGCCTGCTACTCATTTATGGATAAGTGCTAATTTACAGAACGTGAATGGGAAGCCAGGAGTCTTTGTTTTCACAGTTGGTATTTTAGTCTTGATGAAAACTTGCATCTCTGTGTGCATTTTCAAATATAAGAATGAAGAAGTGTTTTGAGTAAGGCTACGCTGCCTTTAGTGCTAAATGAGAGTCCCTCAACAGCAGAAGAGATAGAATGGAGTGCTTTTCCCTGCTACTAGAGCCTTTCACTGTAGAGAGGAAAGGCTCTGGCAGGCAGGAGGCAGCGGGACCAATGCCTTCCCCTTGCCAGAGCCTTTCCCTATTTCAGGGAAAGGTTCCAGCAATAGAGAGCTCAGTTGACAGCGCCTTTCCCTATTGCGGGAGTACTGGAAGGGACCTAGCACCAGGGAGCTACCAGAGATTTTCCCAGTAGCTTCCTCACTGCCAGAAATTTTACCCACTGCCAGGATCCTTTTCCAGTGGTAAGGAAAGACTCCAATAGTAGAGAAACAGTGGAACACTTAACTGCTAAAAAGAGCAGAGTAGACATGGAGGGACAGATTGAGCAAGAATAGAAGCATGTAGGGTGTATTCTTGAGTACAGACCTACACTCTTCAGGCATATTTTTATTCAGCTAAGCTGCACCTCACCAACTATACTATTACATGGGCTACCTAGTATGCATATAATGTAAGTACACTACCCACTCCTGAAAGAAGGGTGCAGTAAAAATGCTGGAGCAAAGATATTTCAGTGTGCATATGAGAGGGCTAGTACCAAAGGTAGTACTATATGGCCCAGAACCCTGTACCTTCCCCCTGGGATAAAGGCATGTTTTTCTATAGGCTGGAACAGGTCTGCTGACTGACATAATCAAATGGAAGTATTAAAATTGTGTGCTGTTGAAACATTAATTTTATAAATGTGTTGACAGAGATCTATATGACTTTACTAACTATATATGTATAGCTGTAAAATGATACAGCTTTTCTGTGTGAGGGCAGGGCATTGCCTTCCAATAATATTCTGGTACTATGTTATAGCATGATTCTGAACTAAATAGGAGTTTTGGATATGAAGCAAATGTGGGCCTGCCAAAAGGAATAGGTGAAGTCACTTAGCTGCTTGGTCACAGAAAATAAAAAAAACTCACATCTTCCTGAAATTAAGAATATAAGAGTATCATATGAACATTCAAATTAGCATCAGGAAAGTCACCTCCAATCTCCCTATCACTGCATCATCCAATTCCTTCTAAAATAGCTACATCCGGCCCCTTCCTATTGTTGAACCAAATGTCCCATTACACCAAGAAAGCACACCTGAAAACAAATCCCTACAGGTTGCAACGACTGTATAAACCACTTAATACTGTGCCTACAGCCCGGAGCTCTTCCACCTGTTTTGCTTCCCACTGCACATCTCCCACTGTGACACCCCAGTGTAGGTTTTAATTACCCAGTTAACCTTAACGAGCGTATAATTTACTGTTCACCTTCCACCGGCCTAGAAATTATTCCTGTCAGCTGTTGAACTTTCACGAGAACCGGGCGGTTTTATGGACACCGTGGCTGGCTGTGGCAGTGCACAGCTCAGGGACAGGCGCTGCTGGGTGGGGAGCGGCAGGAAGATTTCCCTTCCACTACAAAGTGTATCATGTTGACAACAAAAATAAACCCCTCCTTGGGTGCGCCAAAGAAATGTAAACTTTTGTGGAGAATAATTGTCCCCAGGACTAGTTCCTCATCCCCTTCTCACCCCCCCCCCCCCCCCCCAACACACCC